AAAGTTCCGTTGGAATTCTTGCATCATTTCCCATACCTTTTAAATTTCACTAAAGTTGATTTGCAAAAATGTAATTATTTTTTTGAGAAGTCTTCCTATCAGGTCCTAACCATGACTTATTCCTAATTTCCTTTTATATGTAAACTTACTGAAGTTTTGTATTTCCATTTATGTGAAATTTAAGTCGTTTAAAACTATGATTCTTATTGTCTGGGTTATTCTTAAATCGAATGAGAATCCCATGTCTTATATTGATCGCATATAGACGAGCAGAAAGTCGAGTCTTTATAGAGCGGAAGGTAATCTTTATTACTTCCTGGCTTGTGACAGAAAAATTGTTCCATAATCCGAGCTTAAAAATTTTTTTCCAGACGTCTGGTTCTTGTGCGCAGCTCTTCCAATTTGAAAGACTATATTCCGATGTTGTTTTCCAATTGATCTTTTCATCGCATTCGTGTCCTTCAACTTCTACGTGAACCATCAGTTGGCTCGCTTTTATATGCCTTTTGAGCTGGGACAGCCTCATCCATTCTCACGACATGACCTAGCAAACATAGTCGCTGCAGCTCGATACATTTATGTCGATGGGCCGTCGACTTATATCGACCCATAGGTCTTTCAGAGAATTTTTCTCTCAAAAACTTTAAGAGCTGCCTCATCTGCTTGCGTAAATACCCATGCTTCTGATCCATACAGCAGCACGGTTAGCATCAGCGTCTTGTAGATTGTGAATTTGGTTTGGCAAGAGGTGGCCCTGTTTCCGGATTGCTTACTTAGACCGTTGTAGCATCTGTTGGCAAACACTATACGAAAAATCGGATGTCATTGACTACTTCGAAGCTGAAGTTCTCAAGTTCCATAGTTGGTCCGAGTCTACTGAACGTCTTGCGCTTTGTTATCATCAACTTGGTCTGCACGGCATTTACTGCCAGACCCTGTTTGGCAGACTCCTCAGTTTGTTCAAAGGTGGCTGTCTGTTACCGCTCGCAATTTTCGACCCATTATTTCGACGTCATCGGCGTAGGCAAGTAACTTATGCTGCCTGGTGTATAGAGTGTCATTTCTGTTCATCTTAGCCTCTCGTATGATCGTTTCCAGCAGGATGTTAAAAAGGTCACACAACAATCTGTCAGCTTGTCTGAATCCTTGTTCGGTGTTAAAGGGCTCCGAGGAGAGGTTCTCTCCAACATTAACTGCTGATCTTGTGCCAGTTAATGTTAGGGCTGTCGAATACGGCTTTATAGTCGACGAATAGTTGAAATCTCCTAAAATCTATAGGAGATTTTTAATGGCGACAAACTTAGTCTTCTTGATCTTACTTAGAACTACATTAATTTTGTTAATATACAATTCGACCAAATGAAGTTGATGATCTGGAGGTGGAGTATATTTAAAATCCACAAGGATAAATACCCCATTCGTCCGTAAACTAAATACCACTTGACGAGATTTCAAACCAGGCATTTAGAACCACTTTCTAAGTTGATTTTGTTAATTTTCCCCCAATTGTTTTGGGACCATTCATTTTAAAATTGGAAACTGAATATATATGGGTCCACATTTCATTTGTTTTTCGGTGTTTCAGTTGGTAAAAGACAATTTAATTAGGTCCATTGATTATTTTTTTATTTAATCATATTATTACATATATATTTTTTTATTTTTTGTTATAAAAATAGAAGTTGCCTCTTTTTGATTTTTAATATTAAAGCTATTCTTTTAATAACAATAACTAAAGTAAATAAAAGTTTCACAATTTATTTAATCTATATACATAAACTTTTTTTATATACATATGTGTAAGCTAAATTATTAATAATTTTACAATAATTTGTAGCATTATTATTAACAGAGAGATTGCTGGAGGTCAAATGGAAGTTTTTTTTGCTCTGAATTTTATGAGGCAACGAAAATAAATGAAAACTAAAAAATAAAGCAACTAAAATATTCATAAATTAATCAAGTATAAGAAAAAAGAAAAACTATTAAAAAAATAACTCACAAAATGAAAAAAACAACATAAATAAATTAAACTCAAATAAAGAAAGGCAGAATAATACATTTTTGATGTCGATTCGAAAATTAAACTTAATGAAATATTTCTTTTCATAAAAAAGGTATTTTTTGAGCAACTTTGCTGAGTTGTTACGATAGGAGGGAGGTAAGAAGAATGAAAAGATGGATGAAATTTTTATAATGGTTTGGAAAAGAGCAGCAGCAGAGCATTAATTATGCGTTAATTATAAAATCGACATCAAAAAAATATAAACTAAACAAAATAATAAATTAAATGCAAATATGTTTTAAATAAAAAATAAAAATGTTCAAAGTGATACAAAAACACAAATAATAAAGGAACTCAAAATGACCTCAAAATGAATGAAACAAATATTACCTCAATTATATAACTCGAGCAATGCAATCATTAATAATCCTATAAATATAAACACATGAGCAACAACAATTCAGGCTGGGGCTTCAAAATCGCAAATTTGGCTGGAAGCTACAGGAACCAACTGTTCAATTCAATTCCAATTTATTTACTTTTTTTGTTTTGAAAATATCGGACCATTTAAGCTCTATATAGAGTATATTTTCCAAACAGACCAATTGGTCTGTCTATCTATATAGATACCTTGGGTCTGAATAAACACCATTTGTTCGGTACAGAGAACTCGGGTCTTTTTAAAGACCAATTGGTCTGTATAGAGACCGGAGGTCTTTATAAAGACCAATTGGTATGTATAGATACCGGAGGTCTTTATAAAGACCAATTGGTCTGCATAGGGAACGGAGATCTTTATAAAGACCGATTGGTCTGAACAGATATCGGAGGTCTTTATAAAGTCCAATTGGTCTGTATGGAGACCACAGGACTTTATGAAGACCAATTGGTCCGTATGGAGGCCACAGGTCTTTATAAAGACCAATTGGTCTGTATGGAGACCACAGGTCTTTATAAAGACCAATTGGTCTGTATAAAGACCTCTTGGCTCTATAAATACTAATTGGCCTGTATAGACCTCGGGTTTTATTATGACCAATTGGTCTGAATATAGGCGGGTCTTTTTAATGGGCAATTGGTCTGTATAGACCCCTTGGGTTTTTATAATGGCCAATTGCTCGGTATAGAGACCTTGGGTTGTTTAAAGATAGGTCAGTAGGTCCTGTGAAATGTACAAAATCCTGTCTCTTTGCCCATGTGTTATATATTCCTGAAATTACTAAAGTGGTGTATTTTTGTTGTTGTTTTTTAATGTATTCTTGTTCGTTTTTAAACAAAGAAAAATACATGGTATATATATTTGTAAAAAAATCGATATCTTAGTATAAATTTTACAATTTTCATTCTACCACTACAAAGATTTCTAAAAAAATATCTATATCTATATATTTGTACATTTGCAAATGGCAATCGGAAAAAATAACCAAAAATTGGAGGTATTTGGAAGAAAATAAAAACAACGAAATTGGAAATTCCCCCGTTTTTTGATTATTTTACCTTTACATGTTGTTGTTGATTTTTCTTGTACTTACTTATATGTATATCTATCTATATTTACAATATTGCATTTTTTTAAAAAGAAGTGTCCTGTTCCTAATACTTGTTTATATTCTAAATAAAAAATTGTACACGTTATTAGTAGCAGGTTATAGTACGAATAGCTCATCATGTGTCAGGCGCATGCCAACACGGGACTTTTTCTATGATCTTGATAGGATTTTCTATTATTATCATTGACTAATATCTGTAATGAAAACAAATGCATTAAGAAAAGAAAACTTAGATTAAATGCTTAAATCAAAATTTTTTTGATATTAGATATGGTTGTGATAAGATGCGAAATTGTTGGCAAACATACAAAAATGATTTTAAGACTGACATCGGTTCTACGATACCTGTTTGATGAATTTTAATTTAGTGTTTTGAAATACTTTTAAATTTCATTTGTATATATATATATATATATATATATCAATTTCGTACCTTATCAAGCCATATTGTATATATAAAATATTGCCACACATATATATATATATATATATCTAATATTTAATTATTATATAACTACATACAGAAATTATTGATTAAAAATAAAACCATTTTACAACATCCTGGCCACTGTGTACGCTTGTTCGGAATCATCATATATCCCAACCTCAACGGTGACCATACTTGACAATGTATGGCCATAAGATTGAGGGTATATCAACGCACACAGTGGGAATATTTATATATTACATGAATAATATATAAAAAAAATATTAAAATTAATATTAAAGAAACATAAAACTAAAATATGTGTTACTAAAACAATACACCTTTCTTATACAATAATTACGATTAATAATTAAAATTAAATTGCTTTACAAAGAAAAAATCTAAGCTAAAAACTTAATTGTATAACTTATAAAAATAGTTACAAAATGAAAAACAAACGAAACATGATTATACAAAAATTCCCGGCGAGTTTAAACTCTGTGTTTTGATTTATATTAGTCCCAATTTAGATTAGGCGAGTTTATTTGCGGCAAGTCTTTGTTTGTAGGAGAGGGGGGCAAGGGGAATAGAAATGAAAAAAAAATTGCTCGTACCGACAATTTTCTGGCAATTCGTTTTGTGTATTTCGTATTTGTTGACATTTTATATATATTTAAATGTAAAAAAACAACAAATAAAAAAATATTTTGGAAACCGAATTGCCTTGTATAGACGCATAAAGCAAGTTCAAAAGAGAACGATAAAAATTGACGCAAGAAAACTCGCCTAATATAAATCAGGACTTAGGAAATTTTGGTTGCTTTCAAATTCTAACAATAAAAATTACCTAATCTAAACACGACAGCATTTCGAAAAAAAAACTTAAAATTATTTAAAAAATAAAACTGAAAATTATTTGTACCATACACACATATTTACGAAACATTCTAATATTACATAGTAATTAAACGTAAATTATAAACACATAAGTATTGAACGAAAAAAATCATTATCAACATCATGACATTGAGCTTTCACTCAATGAGAAAACACCCGAATCATAATCATCTCCCTGTTGGGGTATTTTCTCAATGGGTTGCAGTTTAACACGAATATTATTTAAATTTACTTGATGTTGGGCGGCCAGCGCCGCCGCCTGTCCGCTGGTACTGGGTAATTCCGTGACGGGTGACAAAATTTCCTGGCTAATTATTAGCATTTCCTTAGGTCTCGTAGCTTGCGGTGTACTTGTATCCGTTGTTATAAATGTTGCGGCTGTGGCTGGGGATGATGTTAGACCCTTGAATTTCTTTTCTTGTTGGCGACTTGGAGATTCTTTGGAACGTCGTTTCGAAGGTGTTGATTTCAGGCTAACCAAAGGTTCATCGTCCGTCTCATCATCATAATCGTTGTCGGACGCCTCAATCCTTTGTGGTTTTGATTTGACTTTCTTTTTCTTTATTTGTTGTTGCGTTTGTTCTTGTTCTTCAGCAGCGGTCTGTTTACGTTTATTATTAGCTGACGTTGCTGTTGTTGTTATCATACCAATATTATCTTCAATGGCCACTGTATGACGTTTTGTACTCAACAATTTCAATTTAATATCCGACCATGCCGAAGGACTTTCACTCGATTTATTTTCAACCATAATATTAACATTACTTTGATTCGCCAACAATAGTGTGGATAAGAAATATCGTGATACATATGATCTATCCTTATTTTCCATAATATCATCGAAACTAGCCTCTGGCTTAGCGTTGGTGAATTTTGGTTCATCATTTGTGCAATTTGTGGTTTGTATTGTCTCGATGATTTCGGTACCCAATTGAAAAACATCGAAATGATGACGCTCTCTTGATTTGGCTAAAATTGGTCGTAGATGTTCATGCCACTGTTGAATCTGAAATAGGAGAAAAGGAAGAAATGAGTTATTTTTTTCCAAATATGTAGTAAAATAATCTGCCTAAAAAGTTTCGATCATGATGGAGAAATAAAAGAATTGTAATAAGAAGCTGCTTTGATTCATGTTAGGGTAACCCTGTCAATCAGCATAAATCTGACATCATTGTTTCTTGCAACACACTAATACAAGAACATTCATTCATTTACTCACATAGTCTCTTCGCGTACAAGTTGTCTTACAGTTCTGCCGTAGCATCACCATAGTAGCATATGTTGGCCAACACAATTCTTCTCCGATCTTTTCCAGCGGGATGTTAAAAAGATCACAAGACAAACTGTCACCTTGTCTGAATACTCGTTCCGTATTGAAAGGCTCCGAGAGGTCCTTTACGACATTATCTGCTGACCCTTGTGCCAATTAAAGTTATCCTGCATAGCCGTATAAATTTTGCCGAACGCAGACATGTCTTGAAAGTCCTCTGAACGTATAGGGCTGTCGAATGCGGGTTTTTTTATATTAGACGAATAGCTGAAATGTGTCGTGGGTCTTTTGGCGCAGAGTGAAAAGCCGCATTCATATGGTCCAACAGGGACGTACGCAGAGGAAGGCGCTGGGGCAGGGGTTCTAGTGTACTTTTTTTTTCCATGACTCGACTATGGACAACATTCACAAATACTATACACACACCGAAATCGACACCGACAACACTATCATACCCTACTCTTATTTAAATTGCCTCACCCTAACCACTTCAAACACTAATATCAAGATGGTCCAATAGTAGCTACTGAGCCGCATAACTCTCCACACACCATGAGGACAATCTTCCTCCTTCATACCTTTTGCACATAGTAGAGGCTTGCACAAACGACTTGAAAAAGCTGCCGAATGTTACACTCAATTATGTTTAAGATAGTAGTGAGGGATATCAAATTTTCGTTAACAATTCCAAAGAAGCTACACAATACATTACGTTTGACTTTTATGTTCCGTACCATATCCCAAATTCTTGAAACATTCAAATTATATTGATGATATAAAACTCAAATACATACCTTTGTTTTTGTACCCTGTAAATCCAAATCCAATAAGGCATTATCCTCCTGGCTATTATCATCAACAATAGTTGGCTCTAAAGCTGGAATAGCAGAATCTGTTTCATTATTTCCTTCAGTCCCACTAGGAGCGTGTTCTATGCCGTTAGAATTATTTTCACTATCGACATTCGACCATTCTTTTACTTCTATTACAGGAACACAAATGGTTTCTGAAGATTCTATTTGATTTTCTGTAGCAGGTGTTGATTCACTTTCTGCTCCACCAACATTTCCTTTATTTTCCTCCTCCATGGAAGACGTTTGTGCCGCTTCTTGGTCACTTGATGTTGTTTCATTTTCTTTTGAACTATTGTCCGCACAGTTTTCTCCACCTTCATTTTCATAAAGAGTTTTAGTTTCTTCCGTTGACTCCTCTATAGATGCTGGCTGTTCACTTCCCTCGCCAATCTTTTGTGCTTCTTTTTGAACCTCCTCAGATTCCTTATTACTATTATTTTCTATTGTATCACTTTGTATTTCAGCCTCTAAGGCTGTTCTTATCGATTCGGATAAATCATTTAAGATATCTTCGGTTGATTCTTTATCTAAGGCACTGTTTAAATTCAATTTGCAACTATTTACATCTGTGGTGGGAGGATTTTCTTCAAAAATTGTTGTCAGCGTTTCTTTTTCGGGCGTTAAAATTGACGCCTCAACACCGACACCCGAATCACGACTTAAACGATGTGGACTTATCACCAATTTGTGTTGTTCATCCTCGGTGAAACCATAAAATTCTGCACATGTGGTTTCATCATCATCATCGTCGGTAAATCCAAAAAATTCCGATTGGTGACCAGGACTATTCGGTGGTGTGTCTAAAATGCCAGACATATCGGTGTTGTTGAGTGAAAATGCCAACAATTGATTTTTGCTTATTTTATATTCACGGGGGTTGGGAGGAGGTCTTGATGGTTTCAGTGAGCGCTAAAATAAAAAAAGAATAAGAAGAAAAAGTAGCATTAATATTGGTATTATAACTTGTCCAGGTCATGATGACTTACCGCTTTCAAATATAAATCCATTTCAGGTCCCAATTTAAAGAGTACTTTTCTTCTTAGAAGTTTTGGAGGCAATTTGAAAATATTACAAACAATTGGATGTTCTTTCGGTTGTTCTATCACAGGTACTTTATAGGTTTCTTGCGAGAAATGTTCTTGCATTTCTAGAGCTTGTCGCAGTTCATCATTCAAATGGATGGTTACATCTTTATTTGTTGCATTCGGTGTTAACATGTGTAGGTCACCTTCGTATACATCAGATAAATGTACACCTTCATCATCGGTATTGGGAATTTGTATTTGCAATCGTTCAGAGGGCTCTGGAAAAACCAAAAATAAACGGAATTTAAATAAGACCAGTAAGGAAAGTAGTAAAGTCGGACGGGGCCGACTATATGATACCCTTCACCACTATGGGTATATTAAACAGGACTATTAGCATGAAATTGGATGAAATAAAATATGTGATATTTATCTAAATGTGAATCTACGTAGATCTATCCATAAAGTATGTAAATCGACTTCAAATAAATATAAATGGGTCATCCGTTGGGCTATGTCTGTACTTCTAGAAAACGCAACTACATAATTCTATGCTCAATTTTGTACGTTGTGCAAAATTTGATGTCAAACTGACTAACATGAGGAGTTTGATGCCCAATTTACTTGAAATCGGGCGAAAATATATATGGAAGCTCTATCCAAATATTAAGCGATTTCAAACAAACTTGTCACAGGATACGTTATACTAATTTCAGAACGTTTTGTTCCTATTGGTTCTTGGTGCATCAATTAATTAAAATCAATCTATAATAAAAGGGAGCTATATCTAAATCTGGACCGATTTTCACGAAACAACGCAGACATCACTCAAGGCTCAATTCAGTACGTTATGCCAAATTTTGTGCAAAACGAAAGATATATAGGGACTTTGGTGCAACATTTACATGAAATCGGACGAAACTATATGTGGGAGCTATATAGAAATCTGGACTGATTTTCTCGAAACTTGGCAGACATCATTCTAGACTCAATTCAGTACGTTATGCCAAATTTCGTGCAAATCGAAGGATATAAAGGGACTTTGGTGCACCATTTACATGAAATCGGACGAAACTATATATGGGAGCTATATGTAAATCTTGACCTATTTTCACGAAACTTGGCAGACATCATTCTAGGCCTAAATGATTAGGCTGTACCAAATTTCGTGCAAATCAAAAGATATATAGGGACTTTGGGATACCATTTACATGAAATCGGACGAAACTATATATGAAAGATATATCTAAATCTTGACCTATTTTCACGAAACTTGGCAGGCATCATTCTAGACTCAATTCAGTACGTTATGCCACATTTCGTGCAAATCGAAGGATATATAGGGACTTTGGTGCACCATTTACATGTAATCGGACGAAACTGTATATGGGAGCTATATCTAAATCTGGACCGATTTTCTTGGCAGACATCACTCTAGGCTTAATTCAGTACTTTATGCCAAATTTCGTGCAAATCAAAAGATATATAGGGACTTTGGGGCACCATTTGTATGAAATCGGACGAAACTATATATGGGAGCTATATCTAAATCTGGACCGATTTTCACGAAACTTGGCAGACATCACTCTAAGCTTAATTCAGTACGTTATGCCAAATTTCGTGCAAATCAAAAGATAAATAGGGACTTTGGGGCACCATTTACATGAAATCGGACGAAACAATATATGGGAGCTACATCTAAATCTAGACCGATTTTCACGAAAATTGGCAGACATCATTATAGGCCTAAATGATTATCCTGTACCAAATTTCGTGCAAATCGAAAGATATATAGGGACCGTTTACATTAAATCGGTTAAATATATATATGGGAGCTATATCTAAATCTGAACCGATTTTTCCCAATTTCAATAGGGTTCGTCCTTGGGCCGAATAAGTGACCTATGCCAAATTTCATCCAATTCGGATCATAAATGCGACCTGTACTTTGTTTACAATTTAACATGGACAGACAGACGGACGGACATGCATAAATCGACTTAGAAAGTGATTCTATGCATATTCTCAAAAGGAACCATGGGTCTATCTCGATTATTTTTGCCTGTTACAAACATATGCACAAAGACATAATACCCTGTACCACAGTGTGGTGAAGGGTATAAAAATGGTACACATCGAAAGTCTCTGTAATTATTTTCGAAGGATTCATAGATTTATAGAATATTTTATGGGGGATCCACACAACTATAGTCGTGAATTTTTAAACAATATTTTATGAAAGATCCACAGGGCTATAGGCTTGGATTTTTAAAGATTATTTTATAAAAGATCCGTAGGTATATAGGCGTGGATTTTTAAAGATTATTTTTTGAAAGATCCGTAGGGCTATAGGCGTGAATTTTTATAGATTATTTTTTGATTAATCTACAGGGCTATAGGCGTGAATTTTTATAGATTATTTTTTGAAAGATCTACAGGGCTATAGTCGTGGATTTTTAAAGATTATTTTTTGATTGACCTACAGGGCTATAGAAAAGGTGAAAGGTCCACTGGGCTATTTTGGATTGGATATTTTTAAGAATATTTTTATGGGTACATTGGTGGATCTACACTGCTAATTTTAAAGGATAAGTTTGCGGATCGTCAGGGCTATAGGCGAGGATTTTTTAGGAATATTTTTTTTTATAAATTTTTAAATATTTTTGAAGAATTCACTCGTCAATGGGCGTGAATTTTTAAGGCATTTTTAAACAATATTCTTTGAGCAACCCATACGACAATATGCGTAATATTTACAGTAAATTTTTGTGAAGGACTAACAACGCTACAAGTGTGTATAAATAGGTGTTTTTAAATGAAATGTATTATTTTAATTACCATTTTCATTGTCATTCATTACATGAACTTCCAATTCAATGAAACCTTCTTTTTCTTTTGTTGCATTGTCAACTGAAGCTTCTTGTGATTTGTCTGTTTCTGTGGCTGTTGTTGATTCTTCAGCTTGTTTTTCCAATTCACCGCCACCTTCATTTGACTTGGGTTCATCACTTGCTTCCTTTTCCATACTAATAACGGTGTTATCATTAGTTTCCTCAGCACAAGTTTGTTTATCAGACGTTTCCGCCGAATCATTTTTATCTTTATCTTCTGTTGTAACATCAACACCATTACTCAATGTAAGCGTAGGTTCTTCATTAGATGACTGTTCTGTAGCCTCCGCTGGATTTGTAATTTCTTCATTTGTACCCTGTACACCGCTTTCATTTATTGTCGTTTCGCCACTATTTTTTTCTGTTTGATTTTCACTATCTCCGTTGTCATTGGTAGTTGGTGCTGTATCCGTCGCCACTGATTCTTCCGTTGCCGATTCATCCAGGGGTAATGTTTTCTTGTTTTCATCATCCATCGCAGTATTTATCTCTTCCTGAGACTTCTCTCCAGCGGGTATTGTTTCATTACAATTATTTGTTTGATCCAATAAACTTTCCCCTAGCCCTGATTCATTTTCCTGTAATTGTGATGCATTTGCGGTTTTATCTCCTTCACCTTCCGCCAAAGAACTGTTATTGAGCGAAGTTTCATGGCTTGTGTTCATGGTGGTGTTTTCGAAATGACTTGAATTTGCCGTACTTTCCATGATACTTGAACCAACTCCGGAATCATTTATACTTGAAACATCATTTATAGCGCCATTACTTGTATTCATCAAATCCAGCAGTGAATTTTCCATACTGGCAGGTATTTCTTCCGTTCCACTTTTATTCAAATTCGGCGCATTTTTGGTCCTTTTTGGACTCTTCCACGTAGGATCAATCTCCAATTGTAGAACACGATTTTCTAAATTAATATATTTTTGTACATATTCTTCGGAGAGAGGTGGCCATTCTTGATTCCTCTGATATTCCGCACTATCCATATCATCCGTCGTTTCTTCTTCCGCCTGAGCATCGAGATAATCTTTAACTTTGAAATGTAAACGGAAATTAATGTCGGGCACAAGGGTGTTATAACGATGTTCAATGTGATATGTAAAGAGTTTGTAATTCCTTTTCGTATCGACTTCTTCTTCATTTTCCAAATCATAAATTGTTGCATGCAACCAACCGGCCGGGTGTATTTGTTGTTCCATTTCAATGTTACGCGGTAGGGATTTCAATTTTGTGGGGGTTTTTGGTGGTGCAAAACGTTTCTCTTCGCTCATCTTTTTGAATTTTTTTGGTTCCAATTGTACTTCATATGGATCGGTGGGTGCATCGAGAGCTCGTTTACGACCACGTTTGGGTTTCTCGGCGGATGTTGTGGCTGTTTCTTCGGCAGATTCCTTTTCATTTCTGGACGAAAAGAACATAAAAAACATTTAATTGTAATTTTAATAAAAAATAATTTTAGAAGGACACACAAGGCGTGGATTTTTAAAGACATTTTTTGGAAGGATTTACACAGCACCAAGATTGGAGTTTAAAATAATAATTTCGTGAGTATTTAAATGGCATTAGGCATGGATTTTTATATAATATGTTTGAAGGATACATTCAGCTATAGATTGGATGGATTTTTATTGATTATTTTTGAAGGCTCCCTACGGCTATAGGCGTGGATTTTTAAAGAAACAATTTTGGGTGCATCGAGAGCTCGTTTACGACCACGTTTGGGTTTCTCGGCGGATGTTGTGGCTGTTTCTTCGGCAGATTCCTTTTCATTTCTGGACGAAAAGAACATAAAAAACATTTAATTGTAATTTTAATAAAAAATAATTTTAGAAGGACACACAAGGCGTGGATTTTTAAAGACATTTTTTGGAAGGATTTACACAGCACCAAGATTGGAGTTTAAAATAATAATTTCGTGAGTATTTAAATGGCATTAGGCATGGATTTTTATATAATATGTTTGAAGGATACATTCAGCTATAGATTGGATGGATTTTTATTGATTATTTTTGAAGGCTCCCTACGGCTATAGGCGTGGATTTTTAAAGAAACAATTTTGAAGGATCTTCATGGCTATAGGTGTGCACTCTTAAGATTGGAGTTTATAATATAATTTCGGGAGTGACTTTCGGCGTGGATTTTTATAGAATATTTTTGAAGGATCTACACGGCTATAGGCGTGGATTTTTATTGAATATTTTTTGAAGGCTCCAATAGAATATTTTTGAAGGATCTACACGGCTATAGGCGTGGATTTTTATTGAATATTTTTGAAGGATCTACTCGGATATAGGCGTGGATTTTTGTAGAATATTTTTTGAAGGCTCCACACGGCTATAGGCATGGATGGTCCAATTTCTAGAGATTTTAAGGGTTATAAGTGCATTTTTATAGGATATTTTTAATGGCGTGGATTTTAAAGGTCCAATTTCTAGAGAATTTAACGGTTATAAGTGCGTTTTTTATATACGTGTGGATTTTAAAGGCCCAATTTCCAGTGGATTTAAACGAGTATTTTTATAGAATAGGGATCCACACGGCTACAGGCGTGGATTTTTAACGTATTTATGAAGGATTCAAACGTCTTTAGACGTTGATTTTTTAAGACTATCACAAAAAGGAGGACCACATTCTACATTTTTGGAATGAAGATCTGCTACTCAATTTATTTATTAAACAATTCCAAAGCCCGAGAAATTGACAACCGACAGGCAAATCCCGTTGAAAAAAAGTATTATATATTTCCAAAATACGGAATATTGGGATGCTTATATGGGGATGATAATTGATTATTGATATTTCGATGTGTTCCATTAGTGTCTATCTGATGTTTCTTTTTTTTAGAATATATCAAGAATTGTAAATGATTTTACTTCGATTATCCTGACCTTAGCCAGTAAAAATTAATATTGCAATTAATAACGGATTATACAAAGGAATCAAATTGAACTTCCGAAAAGACACAGAGTCGGATTTTAAGATGAGGTTTGATTTTTTTTGTATGTGTGGAGGATTGTAAATGAGTTGATTTCGATTATCATGACCTTACCCAGTAATGATAGGTCGCTAAATTGTCAATATCGTTTTTCTGACCATTATAAATTACAAAAATTTGAGAGGAAATTGAAACTGGTTATTATTTACATGCCAATGATTAAGTTAATATTGTTTATATAGCATCATCCTCTTACACAATTAATTGGAAGTATAAACAATAATACTTAATACTTATAAAGCAATGATGATAAACAATGCAAAGAAAAGCCGGTGATAACATTGTATACAAAACAAACATGCATAAACACACACCACACACTAAAGACCACCAACAATTTTTTGTACTTACTGTTCCCTTTGTTGTTGTATTTCCTGATCAGCATTCGATAATGTTAATATTTGACGCTCCACCAAACTCTGAACGTAATCAACACGCTTCGAATAAATCTTTGATGAATTAACCAATAAAAGACCGGCTTCATTAAGAACTAGATCACGATCAATCCCTAGACGTTCAAACAAATCCAAATACTAAAAAGAAAAAAAACAAGATTTTTTTTTATAAAAATGCTAAAAATTTGATGACTAGCTGACAATTACTTACATATCTTAGAGAAATATTGAAATCTGTTGAATATTCTGCATGTTCGGATAATTCAATTAATAGCAATACAATATTCTTTTGTGATGGCTCCTCTTCTACGGTACGTATTAGCTTGGATACTTTTGAATTGGGATGCTTATCGGCGGAGCGCAGAATGTCATTCAGTAGATTATTGTTGTTAATGTTAGCTGTTGTTGTACAAACAGAAAACAAAAAAGAAACGAACAAACAAACACACATAGAGATTAAATGTAAATACAATGTTGTAAAGTTATTTTTTTTCATTTTTTATGAAATCATCATCGTGGTCGTCATGATTATCATTGAGGAGGTAAAGGGTCGTACACAAACATAATGAACACACACACACATATGCACCGAAATATTCACCTATAAACACGCACTTGTTTTCATTATTGATGTGTGTTTGTGGGCATAATATTCTGTTACGGTGTTGTGCATTTGTTGGACTGTACCTCCAACCCCCATCGAGAAAACTCATGGTATTCCAAAGGTGAATTAAATATAAAAAAACACACACACACACTTACCCATTATTATCCTTCTGTAAATACTAGGTGTCCGCCAAAAAAATCTATATAAAATCACTGTTCACTTAGCTGTCCACAAAACTAAAAACTTGCCCGCCTTTTTAATTTTTAAAAAACATTTTCATTTTGTATTCCTGTATTTTCCTCGATTTGTATTCTCGTGTTGCTGTGCCAAGTTTTGTTTTCAATATTTACTTAATTATTTATTTTATCATTCTTTAATAGTATTTCCATTTGTTGTATCGCCCCTTCTTGCTGATTGCATGTTTGTGTGTGAGTAGTAAACCAACTCAACTGTATCATTTATTTTTTTCACCGCATTTTTCAAGCATTTATTGCATTGTTGGTATTACATTTCTTTTAATTATTTGTTGTTGTAATTTTCATTGATAAATTTTCACTTACATATTAAAATTAAACTTTTTACAATAAAAAAACAACATTTTATCCTTTCTGTTTTGATCTGGTATTCATGTATTCAGGGCTTTATTTTTCTCTTTCCACATATTTACTCGTTGACGCTCAACACACAACTACTCGTACTCGTTATTTCTCGTCGAGTTCAGAGAGATGCCACGCTATGGCATTCACGTGTTTTGCGGCGAATACAACCCTGGGCTTGGTGAGTTTATTTTGAACAGTTACACATGCACGCATTCACACCAACACAACTGCAACTACGAATTCCGGTTTGAAATGCTGCATTTCAACATTCGAATATGTGAGGAAATGCATATCCTATTAGAATTTAAATTAAATTTTATCCTTTGTTTCTTGGAAATGGGATAATAAACGGTGGGTTTTATTAGTACTGCCAAATGGGTAGTAAAAAGGTATTCTATATTCCGGCAGGTAAATGCCTGTTGTATGATTAAATCTTAGATTACACGGAACTCCTTTAAGAGAATATACCATAAAGATATTTAATGTAATTAACACTTTTTTCAGAATCTGCAGGTCTCGCCAGCACATTTATCATTCTTATACTATTTGTTACAGTACTGTCCATCCCGCTTTAATATTAATCTCCACGCATTTTACAGCGCCTAAAAGGTAATATAGCACCGTCGTTTAAAATCACACCAATTCATGTTGCTGAAATTTCTCTCAAGACAAGGACCATTTTCATTAAATCGGACGAAAATATACATGGGAGCTATATGTACATCTGAACCGATTTTCACGAAATTTAACACACTCCTTTCTAGACCTAATTCAGTACAGTATGCCAAATTTCGTGCAAATAATATATATATATATATATAGGGACTTTGGTGCACCATTTACCTAAAATCGGACGAAAATATGTATGGGAGCTATATCTAAATCTGAAGCGATTTTTACGAAACTTAGCACACATCATTCTAGACATAATTCAGTAGGCTGTGCCAAATATTGTTCAAGTCGAAAGATATATACGGACTATATATATATACATGTGAGCTATATCTAAATCTGAACCGATTTCAATAGGGTTCGTCCTTGGGCCAAATAAGTGACCTATGACAGATAGACGGACATGCATACATCGACTCAGAATGTGACTCAATGCATATTCTCGAAAGGAACCATGCGTTTATCTCGTTTCCTTTTGCCATTCCTTTCCTGTACCAAAGTGTGGTGAAGGGTGTAAAAATCCCACCCCATTTTCGATACTTTTAAGATGGGGAAATGCAAACTTTGCGAAAATATTCAATATAGGTCCATTTTTGAACATAACGTTTTCGACCGGTTGAAGTTTTTTTTTTTAACATTGAAGTATCGGACACTTTTAATATGGTTCTTGGTACAATAATACAAGGTAGGACAGCTTGTATTTTTTTCTGGTTTCCTATATTTTGTAAAGCTCAAATTGTATTGTTCTACATAAATCAAAAATGTCATATCGAAATTGACGCGAATATTACGATACAATCAAATCAGCTGAGTATTGCAGTTACCTTGTATAATTGTACCAAGAAATGTACTATTAGTTTGAATAGTTCGGCTAGGACCATAGCACAATGAATAGGTAGTACATTTAGAACAGCTGATGTCTAGATTTTACTTGAATTCGATGTGCAATGCTGCCAATTTTTTGAAATATTATAAGGAAAAATTTGATATATAATCCGTAAATGTCTGTTTAACGAGAGAATAAGAAGAATACATTTTGATTAGTAAATTGTAATGTATAGGTTGCTATGGCCTACCTTGAATAATTGTACCATGGGTACATTCATACAGATGTCTACTTGTCACATCACATGTAAAGTTGGGTCTATTATATCTATTATATGGAAATCATTCAGAATCTATACAAATCATCGATTTTAAAACAGCATAAATTAAAATTTAAGAAGGTGCACGAACCAGATAAGTGCAATCATTTTAATTTAATATTTTAATTTTAATATATTACAAATATCTATATGTGTGATTTTATGTAAGGTAATTATGTTCCCCTACTAAACAAGTGGCAAAATTTTCCAATTTCACACTCAGTTTATTATTTATTATACTTTTTAAACTATCCATTTATTAAATCCAGTAGGGTGTAAACTAGAACGTAAATTCTCTTATTTTATAGTCCATAGAACAATGTGTTATCATGTTATAGTGAATAACAAAACGAAGTGTCATTCAATGAACTAGTTCATCCTTTCCTTAAACCTCATTCGTAAACAATGCAACTCCTTTTTAGTCTCCATCCCACCTCATTCGTAACTTTCCGTCTTCTTTTTTGACTTCTTCTTTACCGGGCATTTTGACTTTCCCATCCCATTCGTAAGCGGTGGAACGTTTTTCAACATTTCTGCAGTCGGAGGAAGGTGACGCGTTTTGTTGTCGTTTGTCGTGTTGAAATATTAATTATAATATTAATATAAATATAATAAAAAATTATAATATTAAATATTAATTGTTTCCTATATTAGTTTATCGCCAATCATTCAATAACAAAATATAAAAGATACAATAACAAATTAAGCGTTGCAGAAGGAGAGATAAACTTGCAGTAACATGGCCCAGCAGGAGTCACAGGTGATGAGTTTACCTCTGCCACCATCTCAATACATAAATCTTTTTTCGGAGGAGAATATCAGACGCAATAGAGCACCAAGACCACCACCACCCATTCCAGATGGCTACAGTATGTTCGGTATTCAGTATAACAATGAGGAGATGATACGCTCCCTGGAATCACAGAACATCAAACGACTCATACCACTGCATTTCGATAGAAGAAAAGAGCTGAAAAAGCTAAATCATTCGTTGTTTGTGAACTTTTTGGATTTAATCGATTTGCTGATACAATATCCGGATAGTCCGCGAAGAACAGAAAAGGTATGGTATGGTGGGATTTCCAGACTAGAACTAAACTTTAATGTATTTCCCTTTTTCAGATTGATGATTTGAGTTTATTGTTTGTCCATATGCATCATTTGCTCAATGAATTTCGGCCCCATCAGGCCCGTGAAACGCTTCGCGTTATGATGGAAACACAAAAACGTCAACGAGTGGAGACGACAACACGTTTCGAAAAGCACCTGGAACGGGTTTGTGATATTATCAATACGGCTTTTAGTGACCTGCCCGAAATCACAGATGACGATATGAGCGATAGTGATATAAAAATGGAAATTGATTCGCAAGATTCAAGTAATAACAATAAATCGGATGCGGTCAATCAACTGGATCGTATTATGTGCAGTGTTATTGATAGCATGGAATAACCTCAGGTGTGGTTGGGCATATGTTCTGACATTAGTTATTAGTAGATATACATAGGTTAACAACCATTATTTTTTTTGTAATTTTATTATAATTTAGATATATTTCTATACTAAAAAGAAAAAGAAATAATAACAACAAAACTTGCCATTATTGCAAGTGTATGTATGTTCAAGTACTGAAAACAATATTTTTTTTTTTAATAATATAAATTGTGTATAAAGATTAAATGTAAAATACATAATGTAGATGATAGTAAACATAAATAATGGCAATAATCATGATAGTAATGTGCTGAAAACATTTCTATGCAAGTGTCAAAGTAATATGATATATAAAATTGAAACAAAAAAAGAAAATGAACATGTTTTTAGTTTGGGTATTTGTTTCTATCTTCGGCTGTATAACTTTTGCAATGGAGGAAATAATGTATCATTTGGAAAAAAAATTACTTATTGTTAAAATTGAACTACTTCTTCGATGATTAAAATTACAATTTTTATATTTAACTAACCGTTGTTTTTGTTCATTATATTTTGGTATTTTTCTGTATTGAAGCTGTAAGTTAAAGACCTACCAATTGCTCTGTATAGATATAGGAGGTCTTCATAAAGACCAATTGTTCTGTATGGACACCAAGGTTTTTATAAGGCCAATTGGTCTTATAAATACCAATATTCGGTACTTTGGGGTTCGCACTCATTTTATACCATTCACAACACTGTGGTACAGGGTATTATGTCTTTGTGCATATGTTTATAACAGGCAAAAGGAAACGAGATAGACACATGATTCCTTTTGAAAATATGAATAGAATCACTTTCTAAGTCGATTTATGCATGTCCGTCCGCCTGTCCATGCAACAAAATGCAGGTCGCATTTATGATTCGAATCGGATGAAATTTGGCACAGCTCATTTATTTGATCCAAAGACGAACCCTATTGAAATTTAGAAAAAAAGGTTTAGATTTTGATATAGCTTCCATAAATATTTTCGTCCGATTTTAGGTAAATGGGGCTCCAAAGTCCCTGTATATCTTTCGATTTGCACGAAATTTGGCACAGCGTAATGAATTAGGTATAGAATGATGTGTGTTAAGTTTCCTGAAAATCAGTTTAGATTTAGATATAGCTCCCATATATATTTTCGTTCGATTTTATGTAAATGGTGCACCAAAGTCCCTACATATTCTTGGATTTGCACGAAATTTGTCATAGCGTACTGAATTGTGTTTAGAATGATGTGTAGTAAGTTTGGGATCGGTTCAGATTTCTATATAGCTCTCACATATTCATATATTTTCGTCAGATTTAATATAAATGGCTCTCCTAATGTCATCCTAATGTTTGTCCGATTAATAAGAAATTTTGAACAATGTATCAAATTGAGACTTGAATGGCGTTATTGCATTTTGTTGAAATTGGTGCAGAAGCAGCCATAGCTTCCATAAGTATTTCGAACGGTTGTCTGATTGAAATTAAATGTTTAGCAGTGCGGCGTACCGAATGGCGTGTATCAATTTTGCTTCAAATCGTTTTCCATAAATTTGTCTCATGGTTCGCAGACGACACTAAATCTGCCCAGAATGACATGCGTAAGTTCCTTCGAGGGAACATTGACATGCAAATGTAAGGATACATATGCGCAATATATCCAAAGTGGTTTACTACTTTCCTTACTGGTTCTGTATTGAATCTGTAGGTTAAATACCTAGGAATTGCTCTGTATAGAGACCGGAGGTCTTCATAAAGACCAATTAGTCTGTATAGAGACCATAGATTTATATAACTACGAATTGGTATGTATAGAGGCTGGAGGTCTTTATAAGGCCAATTGTTCTGTATGGAAACCAGAGGTATTTGTAAACACCAATTGGTCTGTATGGAGACCATAGGTCTTTATAAAGAACAATTGGTCTATATGAAAACCAGAGGTCTTTATAAAGAGACCAGAGTCACATTAGGTCATATTAGGTTTGTTTTTCCGTTCGTAACTCATCGAAATAACCATTTCCAATCCAATAAAGTATAAATGTATATTCTTGATTAGCGTATAATTGACAATTTAAGAATGTCATTCTGTCTGTTGTTATCACTATAGCCTCTAAACGAATTGAAGCTAGAGTTGTATTTTTCTGCAGGCAGGTCAAGTTCGAAGATGGGCTATATCGTTTAGGCATAGCCCCCATATAAGGGTACCCCAATTTTCCGATATTTTGGGGTTCTTGTGCGCGTTCTTATTGGGTACTAAAAATATCCACCAAAAAATTATAAATATAGGTTCACTTTTTCCGGTAGCCCCATATACGGTATCCTAAATCTTGTTGCACAGTTTTATAGGTTTCATTTTGAATGCGTACATTTGGCTTGGCCGAATTTATTTACTTGTTTTAATATTATTTCATATTTATTTCACTTGTTTTAATATTGAGCTAGTGTAAACAAGCTTTTGACTAATGTAGATGCTCAGCTAGTACCGGCGAATATAAACAGAAATTAATTGATAGCGATAGTGCTCAGCAATTGACCTATGTGGTCATACAAGACATACCGTCTCTCACTCTAATCGCACACATTGTTGGCATTTAAAATGCATTCGACAACATCAAATCTCAAAATCAGAATAGTGTTCAGTATTCTAAGATGACGCATTTCGTTATAACGCCTTCCGTAATGAAAATTATTAAAACATTGTTAATAATTTTAAAAATTTTCATTATCGGCATAAATTCTACAACAATATCAGCGGTTAAATACAAACCTCCAAGTTATCCAACAAATTTATTAACGAAAGATTGGCCAGAACGTGAAATCAAATATTGGGGTGTAAGTGAAGAATTTTTAAATAAGGTACATAACTTGGAGATATTCGAGGATGATGTTTGGCTGGTTACACTGCCCAAGTGTGGTACAACATGGATGCAAGAGTTGTTGTGGTTGGTCTTGAATGATTTTGATTTTGCTCCAGCTACGGAGGAACATTTGGAAATTCGTTCACCATTTTTAGAGTGAGATGTGATAGGTGATTGGTATTTGATAATGTTTTAAGAATTTTTCATTCTGTCTAGATTCGATTATTTGGTAAATGAAGATTTGGAATCAGCATTTAAGCCCATAGAAAATCTGAAACGTCCTCGTTTGATAAAGACCCATTTGTGTTTGCCACTTTTGCCACGACAATTATGGGAGAAAAAAGCAAAGGTAAGGAATTAAAAATATAACTTAAATACGATATTACTTTAAATAAATCTTTTATTATTTCAGATCGTCTATGTTGCGCGCAATTTAAAGGATGCCCTTGTCTCCGATTATTATCACATGCGTAATATTGATTTTGTTCAAAATCAAACTCTTGAGAATTTCGTCCGCGAAGAAATTGAAAATGGCGATTCGAATATGCAATTCTTACATTTAACCGAATTCTATTCATTACGTAATGAATCGTGGATATTCTACACAAGTTTTGAACGTATGAAACGCGATTTACGTCAAGTCATATTGGATGTCTGCCGATTTCTGAATCGAACTATTGATAATGAAACAATGTTGCGAATGCTTAAACATTTATCATTCGATGAAATGAAAATGAATCCGAAAACGAATCATTTATGGGAATATGAACAGATACGAAATAAATTCGGAATGGAATCTGGAAAACCTGAGTAAGTCGTTAGGATAAATATATAACTCATAGTGCTATGTGGAGATCTGAGATCTTTATAAAGACCCATGGGGATGTATACAGATCACAGGTGTTTATAAAGTCCCATAGGACTGGTCCATGAAATCTTAGTTCTTTATAAACACCTATGGGTCTATATAGAGACTTGAGGTCGTTATAAACCCCATGGGGCCTATATAGAGACCTAGAGGTCTTTATAAAGACCAATTGTTCTCTATGGAGACCTGATGTCTTTATAAAGACCAATTGGTCTGTATAGAGAGTATGGAGACCAGAGATCTTTATAAAGATCCATTGGACTGTATGGAGACCAGAGGTAGTTATAAAGACCCATGGGGCTGTGTAGAGGCCAGAGGTCTTTATAAAGACTAATTGGTCTGTACGGACACCAGAGGTCTTTACAAAGACATATGGGGCTGTATAAACACCAGATGTCTTTATAATGACCCACGGGACTGTATATAGACCAGAGGTCTTCAGAAAGACCCATGGGGCTGTATAGAGACCAGAGGTCTATATAAAGACCCATGGTGCTGCATATAGACACGATATCTTTATTAAGACCCATGGGGCTGTATAGAGACCAGAGGTCTTTATAAATACCGATGGGGCTGTATAGAGACCAGAAGTCTTTATAAAGACCCATGGGGCTGTATAGAGACCAGAGGTTTTTATAAAGACCCATGGGGATGTATGAGTCCAGGGGTTTTTATAAAGACCCATGGGGCTGTATGAGACCACAGGTTTTTACAAAGACCCATGAGGCTTTATAGAGACCCGAGGTCTTTATAATGACCCATGGGACTGTATAGAGACTAGAGGTCTTTACAAAGGCTGTGGGTCTGTATGGAGACCAGAGGTCTTTATAACGACCAATTGGTCTGTATTTAGACAAGTGATCTTTATAAAGACCAATTGGTCTGTATGCATATCAGAGTTCTTTATAAAGATCTCCATATAGACCATTAAATGGAGACCAAAGTTCTTTATTAAGACCGATTGGTCTGTATGGAAGCCAGAGGTTTTTATTAAGCCTAGCACATCGTTTTAACCCACATATCTTACATATAATTAATTTTTGTAACATTTCCTTAGGTTCAATTTTATACGCAAAGGAAAGGTGAATGCTTATAAGGAAGAGTTATCCAAGGATATGGTGCAAAAATTGGACAATTGGATGGAAGATAACTTAAGGAAATTTAATATAACATTAAATGAATTGTTGTTGTTAAATAATGTAACAAATGTTGTAACAAAATAAGTGATTCCTCATGCAATTTTTGATAATTTATTGGAGTCACTGTAAACAGATATATATGTATAAATATATACTACCTTTAGAACCACATAGAGAGGAAGGATCTCAGTGGGATGTTGTCCCTCTTTCGGCAGGAATTTTATTTGCACGCACACGGCACTGTTGCATACATTTAAATTGAAAGGAGTAGCTACCATAACAGAGCCCAAAGGAGAATTCAACATAAATGTATCAGAATTTATTTACGATCTACGGCAATCATAAAGATGAACCAGTAAGGAAAGTAGTAAAGTCGGACTGGGCCGACTATATGATACCCTTCACCACTTTGGGTATATTGTACATATGTATCCTAACAATTGCATGTCTATGTTCCCTCTTTCTCCAACCTATCCTAACTGTAATTTCATTCGAGCAGATTTAGAGCCGTCTGCGTAACATGGGGAAAATTTATGGAAAACGATTTGTAGCAAAATTGATACATTAAAAATATAATCTATATGTGGGAGCTATATCTAAATCTAAACCGATTTCCACGAAAATTAACACACATCTTTCAAGACTTAATTCAGTACGCCATGCCAAATTTTGTGCAAATCGACGGATATATATAGGGACTTTGGTGCACCATTTACATAAAAACGGTCGAAAATATATATGAGAGCTATATCTAAATCTGAACCGATTTTCACGAAATTTAACACACACTGTTCTAGACTTAATTCAGCACGATATGCGAAATTTCGTGCAAATCGAAGGATACAAAGGGACTTGGTGCACTATTTACCGAAAATCGGACAAAAATATATATGGGAGCTATATCTAAATCTGAACCGTCTTCCACGCAAATTTAACACACATCGTTAACTTAATTCAGTACGCTGTGCCAAATTTCGTGCAAATCGATGGATATATAGGGACGTTGGTGCATCATTTACATACAATCGGTCGAACATATATATGGGAGCTATATCGAAATCTCGACCGATTTTCCCGAAACTCACCACTCATCATTCTAGACTCAACTTGGTACGCTAAGCCAAATTTTGTGCAAATCGAAGCATATAAAGGGACTTTGATGCACAATTTACCTAAAATCGGACGAAAATATATATGGGAGCTACATCCAAATCTGAACCGATTTTCACGAAACTTAACACACATCATTCTGGACCTAATTCATTACGCTGTGCCAAATTTCGTGCAAATCGAAAGATATATAGGGACTTTTGTACACCATTTACCTTAAATCGGACGAAAATATATATGGGAGCTATATCCAAATCTGAACCGATTTTCAGGAAACTTGACACACATCATTCTCGACCAAATTCATTACGCTGTACTAAATTTCGTGTAAATCGAAAGATATATAGGGACCGTTTACATTAAATCGGACGAAAATATATATGGGTTCGTCCTTGGGCCAAATAAGTGACCTATTCCAAATTTCATCCAATTCGGATTATAAATGCGATCTGTACTTTGTTTACAATTTAACATCGACAGACAGACGGATGGACGGACGGTCATGCATAAATCGACTCAGAAAGTGACTCTATGCATATTCCCAAAAGGAACCCTGCGTCTATCTCGTTTCCTTTTGCCTGTTACAAACATATGTACAAAGACATAATACCCTGTACCACAGAGTGGTGAAGGGTATAATAAGAATATTAGGTTTTGTTCAAATCGGTACAGATTTAATTATATTGAGCATGAAATCGCACGCTCACACCACTGGTTGCTCAAATTTGAATGGAAAGGAGTAGCTACCATAACAGAACCAAAAGGCTATATACCCTCATAAATGTGGTTTACATAAAAAATCATTCCCAACATGTAGCTAATGAAAAAACACATTAGTAAAAATTTAAATTTGAATGAAAAGGAATAGCTACCATAAAAGAAACCAAAAGCACAATTCAGAATCAGAATTTATTTGCTGACTACGGCAATCATAAAGATGACAAATAACAAAACCTTGTATTTTTATTAAATTATTATATTTTTATTTACAATTATTATATTTATTAAAAAATATACATACATATCTAAAATTAAAAACAAACTCTTCTTATAATCTACAACGCTAACAAGATGAATAAAAACTATCACATTGAAATTTTATGACAACACACTAAAATATGTCTGTCATGTAATTTGTTGTAATACTTGTGAATTGAATAAAATAATAAAAATTAAGTATATTTCCAAAAAACATATAACCTGGAGATGAATACATTTTCTTCTAGAACCTTTTACAACACATTTGAAAATTTAAATCATTCTCTAAACAATAACTACAATTTTTCTATAATACACTTTTCTATATATCGATTAAGTACTTTGTAATTCTTCTAATAAAATTGTTCTATGTAAAGGTAGATTTTTTCGGTAGAATACAGGATAGGGCACTGGCAACTGTAAAATAGAGAGAGAGAAAAATAATGAATATTATTAAAAAATATTTCAACATTTGAAATATTATTTTTAAGACTTACATATCAATACAGCTCCCACCATTATAAATGGTGGTATACAACCAATTTCGACCAGCACTGGAAACATTAAATTACCAGATAAGGCACCCAAACGTCCAAACATCATTGCGATGGCCACAATCATGGTTCTGAAAAAAATTATAATACAATCTATCTTCTATCTTCTATCTATATATATAAAAATGAATTTCTGTTTGTTTGTTAGTTTGTTTGTTTGGTAGGTGTTAGCTATAGACTCCTAAACTACTGAACGGATTTTCATGAAATTTTCACAGTCGATTTTTGAGTACATTTGTGGTAACATAGGATACTTAATTTTTTGATGGGGCAGGGGAAACAGTAGCCCCCATACAAATTGCCCCCTTTTTAGACCAGAATCGGCCATTATAGCAGAGAATTGGAATTGGCAATTATAGCAAAGTGTTAGTAAATATACAAACCACAGATGTTTACTAAGTTCACAAACCACAATTATGTAGGTGTTGCCAATTCACAATTTGTTTTTATGACAATGATAAAGATGGAAATATCTGAATCAAAAAAGTGATACTGATGACAGAGTTCGTACAATTCGAGTACGCAGAGATTTCAATAACGTGAACTCTATACACAAAATAGTACTGTACACATTACTGATGACAGAATTCGTAAAATTTGAGCACGAAGCGATTTAAATAATTTGGATTATATACACAAATTAGTACTGTACACATATTTGCAATGGTCCCTATATATCTTTCGATTTGCACGAAATTTTTTGGTATAGCCTACTAAATTAGGTCAAGAATAATGTGTGCTAAGTTTCGTGAAAATCGGTTCAGATTTAAATATAGCTCCCATATATAGTTTCGCCCGATTTTAGGTAATTGGTACACCAAAGTCGCTATATATCATTCGATTTGCACGAATTTTGGCATAGCGTACTGAATTAAGTCAAGAATGATTGTGCTAAGTTTCATGAAAATAGGTTCAGATTAAGATATAGCTCCCACATATATATATTTGTGTCCGATTTAATGTAAATAGTCCCTATATATCTTTCGATTTGCACGAAATTTGGTATAGAATACTGAATTAGGTCAAGAATAATGTATACTATGTTTCGTGAAAATCGGTTCAGATTTAGATATAGTTCCCATATATAGTTTTGCCCGATGGTGCACCAAAGCCCCTGAAAATCATTAGCTTTGCACGAATTTTGGCAAAGCGGACTAAATTAAGTCTAGAATAGTGTGTGCAAAATTTCGTGAAAATCGGTTCAGATTTAGATATAGCTCCCATATGTAAATGGTGCACTGAAGCCTCTATAATTGGCACACCAAAATCGCTATATATCATTCCATTTGCATGAATTTTGGCATAGCGTAGAATGATGTGTGCTAAGTTTCGTGAAAAACGATTCAGATTTAGATAGATTTTGGCATAGCGTACAGAATTAGAATGAATGCGCAAAGTTTCATAAAAATCGGTTCAGATTTAGATATAGCTCCCATATATATTTTTGTCCGATTTAATGTAAATGGCCTCTATATATCTTTCGATTTGCTCGAAATTAGGTACAGCCTACTAAATTAGGTCAAGAATGATGTATGCTAAGTTTCTTGAAAATCGGTTCAGATTTAGATATAGCTCCCATATATATTTTCGTCCGATTTTAGGTAAATGGTGCACCAAAACCCCTGAAAATCATTCGATTTGCACGAATTTTGGCAAAGCGGACTGAATTAAGTCTAGAATAATGTGTGTAAAGTTTCGTGAAAATCGGTTCAGATTTAGATATAGCTCCCATATATATTTTCGTCCGATTTTATGTAAATGGTGCACTAAAGCCTATATAATTGGCACACCAAAATTGCTATATATCATTCCATTTGCATGAATTTTGGCATAGCGTAGAATGATGTGTGCTAAGTTTCGTGAAAACCGACTCAGATTTAGATAGTTTTTTTGCATAGCGTACTGAATTAGAATGAATGCGCTAAGTTTCATAAAAATCGGTTCAGATTTAGATATAGCTCCCATATATATTTTTGTCCGATTTAATGTAAATGGTCTCTATATATCTTTCGATTTGAACGAAATTTGGTACAGCCTACTAAATTAGGTCAAGAATGATGTATGCTCATATTTTCGTCCGATTTTATGTAAATGGTGCACTAAAGCCTCTATAATTGGCACACCAAAATTGCTATATATCATTCCATTTGCACGAATTTTGGCATAGCGCACTGAATTAAGCCAAGAATGATTGTGCTAAGTTTCATTAAAATAGGTTCAGATTTAGATATAGCTCCCACATATATATATTTGTGTCCGATTTAATGTAAATAGTCCCTATTTATCTTTCGACTTGCACGAAATTTGGTATAGAATACTGAATTAGGTCAAGAATAATGTATACTATGTTTCGTGAAAATCGGTTCAGATTTAGATATAGCTCTCATATATAGTTTTGCCCGATTTTAGGTAAATGGTGCACCAAATGCCCCTGAAAATCAT